TAAATATTGAACCGGTCAGAGATCTTGAAGTGGGTGGTGAAGGAGATAAGACCGCCAGTATCTGCAGATAGTGACTCAGCCTGGATCAAGTATGAGGCAAAAGACTGGATATTACAGGTCATCGGACCAATAGGTCGAGGCCTTCGCTTAACCACTTCAATACCGGGGTACTGTCACCCCCTTCCTGCCCAGGCCAATTTTCAGCACTTTGAATGACAATTGTGCGGTCATGCAACACTGTACCTAAAATGCACTTTTATCAATTTTTTTCACACAAATAGAGCTTTCTTTTGGTGGTATTTAATCACCGTCTGGTTTTTTTAATTCTTTGCTAAATAAATGAGAAAAGACCGAACATTCTGAAAAAAAAACAAAATTTTTCTTTATTTTTCTGTTTATAAAAAATTTGCAAATAAATAATCTTTCTTGATAAATTTAGGCCAAAATGTATTCCGCTACCTTTCTTTGGTGGAAATAACCCAAATCTGCGCGTTTATTATTTAATCTGTAGGAAAATTATAGAATCCACAAACTATGGTATATACAAGGGGTCTTCAAAAAGTTTCTGCACTTTATATATATATACACACAATAGAGTTAAAAAAAAAGTTTCTGCAATATTTATATATATTTAATGTAGAAACCTCTTTTTTATATATATATATATATATATACACAATAGCGTTAAAAAAAGTTTCTGCATTAAATATATATATATAATGCAGAAATTTTTTATATATATACAGTTGCAAGAAAAAGTATGTGAACCCCTTGGGATTACGTGGAGTTTTGCATGAATTGGGCATAAAATGTGCTCTGAACGTCATCTAAGTCACAACAATAGAAGAACACAGTCTGCTGAACATAATACTACACAAACATTAGATGTTGCCATGGTGCAGGGAGGAAAAAGTATGTGAACCTTTGGACTTAATAACTGGTTGACCCTCCTTTGGTAGCAATAACCTCAACCAAACGTTTCCTGTAGTTGCAGATCAGACCTGCACAACGATCTGGAGTCATTTTGGACCATTCCTCTTCACAAAACTGTTTCAGTGTAGCAATATTCTTGGGATGTCTGGTGTGAATCGCTCTCTTAAGGTCATGCCACAGCATTTCAATCGGGTTGAGGTCAGGACTCTGACTGGGCCACTCCAGAAGGCGTATTCTGTGCTGTTGCAGCCATTGTTTTGTTGAATTACTTGTATGCTTTGGGTCATTGTCCTGTTGCATCACCCATCCTCTGCGGAGCTTCAGTTGGTGGACAGATGGTCATACATTTTCCTGCAAAATGTCTTGCTAAACTCTGGAATTCATTTTCCCATCAATGACAACAATCCGTCCAGGCCCTGAGGCAGCAAAGCAGCCCCAAACCATGATGCTCCCTCCACCATGTTTCACAGTGGGGATGAGGTTTTGATGTTGGTGTGCTGTGCCTTTTTTTCTCCACACATAGTGTTGTGTGTTCTTCCCAAACAACTCAATCTTGGTTTCATCTGTCCACAGTATATTTTGCCAGTAGTGCTGTGGAACATCCAGGCGCTCTTTTGCAAACTTCAAACGTGCTGCAATATTCTTTTTGGACAGCAATGGCTTCCTCCGTGGTGTCCTCCCATGTACTCCATTCTTGTTTAATGTTTTTCTTATTGTAGATGTGTCAACAAAAATGTTAGCATGTGCCAGAGATTTCTGTAGGTCTTTAGCTGACACTCTGGGATTCTTCTTTACCTCATGCAGCATTCTGCGCTGTGCTCTTGCAGTCATTTTTACAGGACGACCACGCCTAGGGAGAGTAGCAACAGTGCTAAACTTTCTCCATTTGTAGACAGTCTGTCTTACCGTGGGCACATGAACATCAAGGCTTTTGGAGATACTTTTGTAACCCTTTCCAGCTTCATGCAAGTCAACAATTCTTGATCGTAGGTCTTCTGAGAGCTCTTTTCTGCGAGGCATGGTTCACATCAGACAGTGCTTCTTGAAACCAGTAAACCCAAAACAGGTGTGTGTTTGTTAAGGGCAGGACAGCTGTCTGCAACACATCCAATATCATCACACTGATTGGAGTCAAGGTTGGCTCACTCCTGTCTCCAATTAGCTCTGGGAGAAGTCATTAGGCTAGGGACTCACATACTTTTTCCTCCCTGCACTGTGAATGTTTACATGTTATGTGCAATTAAACCATGGCAACATCTAATGTTTGTGTAGTATTATGTTCAGCAGACTGCGTTCTTCTATTGTTGTGACTAGATGACGTTCAGAGCACATTTTATCCCCAATTCATGCAAAACTCCACGTAATCCCAAGGGGTTCACATACTTTTTCTTGCAACTGTATATATATATATAATGCAGAAACTTCTTTTTTTAATATATATATATATATATATATTAGAGTTAAAAAAACATTTCTGCATTTTATATATATATCATATATATCTACCTATATATTATATCTAATACCTATATATATGTACATAATAGAGTTAAATAAAAGTGCGTAAACCTGTTGAAGAACCTCCGTATATCTGAAAAGCGATCAATCCTTCTTATCTCATTTCTTGAGGCCCTAAAATGCCCGGACAGTACAGATATCCCCCAAATGACACCTTTTTGGAAAGTAGACAGTCCCAGGTATTTAGTGTGAGGCATGGTAAGTTTTTCGAAGTTGTAATTTTTTTTGGCAAAATTTTATGGAAAATGAAGACATTTTTAAAAAATAATTTTTTTCCCACAAATATTTTTCTTTATATACTGTCACCAGCATCATCATATAACTGGTGTTGCGATGATGAGGGACATGGTGACAGAAAAAAAAAATTAATAATTTTTTCTCTATTTTTTTCGATTTTTTTACTCTTTTCTTTTTTTGTGACCAGAGCAATACAGTGTTACCATAGTAACATTGTACTACTCTGGGGAAGTGATCAGAGTACTTTCTGTGCGTTTTGGATGCAGAAAAAAAGCAACTGAAACATATGGAGTGTGAACTGGCCCTTAAGGCTGAGGTTGGAGAACATCCAACATCCTCTAGTCCTTCCCTAATCAGTCTGACTGTCCTTGGCCCGCCCCTTTCATTCATTGGATCTCAGTTCTTTCAATCATGGAGCCTCAGCATCACATATGGGTGTTACCTAGGGTGGTCTGCGTACAAATACAGCCTGCCTAGGAACGCCCACTTCTCCAGACTGACACCCACCAATCAAGGCATTTTGGTATTCTCATAACTCCTCCCAACAGCCAGCCCATTGCTTACAGTAAGCTATATACAGCACCTTGCCAACCCTTCCAGCCAGCCATGATCTGCCTCCATTGCATGGAGAAGTACAGAGAACAAGTGATGACATCACTGGGTCCATAGAAGACATGTAGGAAAAACAGAAAGGGTCCTTTCACACAGGTGTTAAATTTTTTTTTATCAGTTCAGTCGCGTTTTTTTTTTTTTTCAAAATCGGAGCTAAACGGATCAAGACTTCACTTTATAGCTCCACTTTTTTCACATCCATTTTTGTTCCGTGTACATCTGTTTTTTCATCAGTTTCTTGTCAGTTTTTACATTCCTTTACAGATGCAAAAACGGACCATATGTCCCTTTACATTCGTTTACATCTGTTTTTCGTCTGTTCCATTGGTTTTTTCTTATGGAAGAAAAATGGTTTTCTTCCAATCAAAACAAACGGATGTTAACAGATGCAGAAATTAACCAGTTCTGCCCTATAGTAGAAATACCACTGCAGGGCGGCATGGGTGCGCAAAATCACATACATATACGTGATCAGTGGGAGGAATAGTGCCCAATCATTGGTATCAGTGGGAGGAATAGTGCCCATCATTGGTATCAGTGTGGGAGGAATAGTGCCCCATCATTGGTATCAGTGGGAGGAATAGTGCCCCATCATTGGTGTCAGTGGGAGGAATAGTGCCCCATCATTGGTGTCAGTGGAAGGAATAGCGCCCCATCATTGGTGTCAGTGGGAGGAAAAGTGCCCCATCATTGGTATCAGTGGGAGGAATAGCGCCCCATCGTTGGTGTCAGTGAGAGGAATAGTGCCCCATCATTGGTGTCAGTGGGAGGAATAGTGCCCTATCATTGGTGTCAGTGGGAGGAATAGTGCCCCACCATTGGTGTCGGTGGGAGGAATAGTGCCCCACCATGGGTGTCAGGTGTTGGTGGGAGGAATAGTGCCCCATCATTGGTATCGGTGGGAGGAATAGTGCCCTATCATTGGTGTCAGTGGGAGGAATAGTGCCCTATCATTGGTGTCGGTGGGAGGAATAGTGCCCCATCATTGGTATCAGTGGGAGGAATAGTGCCCCATCATTGGTGTCAGTGGGAGGAATAGTGCTCCACCATTGGTGTCAGTGAGAGGAATAGTGCCCCATCATTGGTGTCAGTGAGAGGAATAGTGTCCCATCATTGGTATCAGTGGGAGGAATAGTGCCCCATCATTGGTGTCAGTGAGAGGAATAGTGTCCCATCATTGGTATCAGTGGGGAGGAATAGTGCCTCATCATTGGTGTCAGTGGGAGGAATAGTGCTCCACCATTGGTGTCAGTGAGAGGAATAGTGCCCCATCATTGGTGTCAGTGAGAGGAATAGTGTCCCATCATTGGTATCAGTGGGAGGAATAGTGCTCCATCATTGGTGTCAGTGAGAGGAATAGTGCCCCATCATTGGTATCAGTGGGAGGAATAGTGTCCCATCATTGGTATTAGTGGGAGGAATAGTGCCCCATCATTGGTATCAGTGGAAGGAATAGTGCCCCATCATTGGTGTCAGTGGGAGGAATAGTGCCCCATCATTGGTATCAGTGGAAGGAATAGTGCCCCATCATTGGTGTCAGTGGGAGGAATAGTGTCCCATCATTGGTATCAGTGGGAGGAATAGTGCCCCATCATTGGTATCAGTGGGAGGAATAGTGCCCCATCATTGGTATCAGTGGGAGGAATAGTACCCCATCATTGGTATCAGTGGGAGGAATAGTGTCCCATCATTGGTGTCAGTGGGAGGAATAGTACCCCAAGGGCTGGATAAAGGCTAGCAAAGGGCCACAGTTTGGAGACCCCTGCTCTAAACCATTAAATGTTTCATAACGTCCTTCACGTGAGATGAGCTTTCATAACGAACGCACATCCAAGAATTTATCGATGATGAAAGGAACAGGAGACTCTGGCTAGGCAAGGCATGGCCAATGTAATTTTGTAATAATTGCTCTGCTCTGGAGTTTATCTTTAAATAAAATGCAAACACCTAAATCTCATATAATCTCAAGCAATTCGGTCCCTAAATCTAGGAATCTCCTAATACCCCTTTCAGTCCCAAAGTGTTTTTTTTTCTCATTTTGCCAATATGTCAGTTTATACCTTTTAGAATCAGAAAATGTATTTATCCTTTTAAAATAACAATCAGAAAATGAAACACAATTGTAGCTCCCTCCCAGGGGCAGACTGACCATTTGGAAACTGGGGCACTGCCCGAGGGCCCGGGGTCAGTAGGGGGCCCCATGAGATGCCCCTGGTACCTTTTTCATAGGCTTTTTTGAGTTTGGGCAAGGACACAGGGGCCCCATGATCCCCTATTGCCCGGGGGGCCCCATGAGTTGTCAGTCCGTCCCTGATCCCTCCTTTTATAATGTGTAATCTTCGCTAACATGTTATAGATTTTTTTTTCCTTTGGGGACAGACAAGACTTTAATTTGAAAAAAAAAAATTGGATACGTATTTTTTATTTCCTTGGATTTTATTGGGAATAAATAGTAAAATAAAAAAAAAAATGGTAAAAAAGACATGTTTCTGTAATTTTCCCTAATGCAACATTTACATAATTTATGCAACTTTTTAGAGGTTTGAGGGCCGGAACACACCACATGCAGTCCAGTGGGGGGGGGGTTTTTTAGGTTACCCGCAGGAATAGTAGGTTACATGGTTTCCAATGGAAACCCTCACCAATGTGTTTTCTGTTCCAAAAAAAAAAAGTAGAACATGCTGCAATTTTTTTGCACTGAATTGTACTGGAATGCAATAAAAAGCATAAAAAAATGCACCAGAATGTACGTCTTCTTTTACAGCCAGTTCACACTCCATGCGTTTCAGTTGCTTTTTTCTGCATCCAAAACGCACAGAAAGTAGGTTATATGGTTGTCAATGTCATAGTGCACATCAGCGCTTGCAGTTCCAGTGCGTTCCGGTTGCAGAAAAAAAAAAGTAGAACATGCTGCATTTTGTTTCTGCACAGAATTGCACTGGAAAGTGATAAAACGCATCAAACATGCACCGGAACGCACTAAAACACACCATAAACGCACTGGAATGCACATGTCCTTATCTAAATTGAAGAAAAAGAGGGGAGAATGAACCGGAATGCATAAAAAAAACACACTGGAACATGTTAAAAATGCATCAAAAATGCACTAGAACGCATTAAAAATGTGCATGCAGAAACGCATCTGGAACACATCTGGACTGCATTTCTATAGTGTGAATCGGCCCTGTGGGGGATGGACTGGTTGGAAGAGTAGAAGATTCCATTGTTAGCTGAGGGCAGGATAGGCTTCCCTGAAGAGAGAGGTTTTCAGAGATCGCCTAAACGTGAGCAGAGTAGGCGATAGTCTGATAAATTGGAGTAGGGAGTTCCAGAGGATGAGGGAAGCTCTGGAGATGTCCTGGAGACTAGCATGGGAGGAGGAGACAAGGGAGCTAGAGAGCAGGAGGTCTTGCGAGGAGCGGAGAGTACGGTTTGGGTGATATTTAGAGCCGAACAGCCATGCAAAATTTTTTTTTTTTATAAACGCACCCTATTTGTCCTGACACTGCCAGGTGCCACACAGAGGTTGCTGGGGGGAGAGGGCCCATCAAATTTTGGCGACGGGGCTCCATGATTGGTAGTTACACCCCCGATAATGACCCTCTCTTTTTGATATATATTTGATAAAATCCAGGTGGCGTTTATTGAAATGCAGACAAAGGGACGTACATCAGAGGGAATGAAGGAATATTGACATGGGCAGACCGCCGGTAATGAGCTGCGACCGCGGATAAAAGGGGAAAAAAAAAAGTAGCATGAATGGGGAAAATACTGCATTCTGGCCACTAGACTGTGCTCAGTATCATAGCAAATAAGTGTGCTCCTCAGCTCCATCTACTGGCCATAATGTGGTATTCCCCCATTTGCATTTTCCCCCATATGAATAACATTTGATCTGCAGAGAATATAACCTGAGAACATTCGCACAGAATGAATGTATTATCATTATTATTATATTATACAGGATTTATATATTATTATTATACAGGATTTATATGGCGCCAACAGTTTGCTCAGCGCTGTACAATATAACGGGAGACAATACAGCAAGGATACAGTTCAATACAAGAGGGTTAGGAGGGCCTGATCTTTGGAGCTTACAATCTAGGATACATGCAGTTTGAAGAGCTGAACAGCCATGCAAAGTTTTTTTTTTTTTCATAAACGCACCCTATTTGTCCTGACACTGCCAGGTGCCACACAGAGGTTGCTGGGGGGGGGCATCAAATTTTGGCTACGGGGCTCCATGATTGGTAGTTACACCCCCAATAATGACCCTCTAAGTGGCTCTCTTTTTGATATATATTTGATAAAATCCAGGTGGCATTCATTGAAATGCAGACAAAGGGACGTACATCAGCGGGAATGAAGGAATATTGACATGGGCAGACCGCCGGTAATGAGCTGCGACCGCGGATAAAAGGGGAAACCTCAGCGTGGCTGAAGAAAAAAAAATAACAGACAATTTTATTCACATAAATTGAAATGGTATTGACAGAGGCGGCGCTGACAAGATCCCAGCAAGCCATCTTCACATAAATTCAAATCGCAGCGGGTGAGGCGCTCTGGATGGGCAGCAATTTGCAGAGACGGACCCTCGTTACCAGTTATCTTTCCGAGCGATAAAGCGTAACTCCGCCCGTGAGCCAGATCTCCGACACAAACGGCTCGGCACTCGTCTTCCTTCGTCTCTCTTCTTTCTTTGCTGCTTCTGGTAGACGTCTCAACTTCCTATCCGCAGAAAATGGTCATTGTCAGGTGGGAATCGGATTCAGTTTTTGGGGAACGGCAGGCGAGTTTTGCCACTGGAATGAGTTCTCTCTGCCGTCTGGAAACCAGGTAGCCGCCCTTGTACTTACCTTTCGTAGGGTGATCTGGCGGCTTCCATATCTTGTGGTTCCTGTTGATGGTGCGCGTTTTTTAAACTAGCTATAAATTTGTCCTCCTACAATGATCAGACTATACATTGTAACTTTGTAGTCACATCCTGGGAGGCTGCGGCAGGGGCTGATCTGTGTCAGACATCTGTGAGCATAACCAAAAACTTCACTTTGCCTAGGCAGAGATGATGTCATCAATCTGATGCAGCCAGGAGAAAGCATTTTTTTAGTTGTCCCCCCTTCAGTGATCAGACTATACATTGTAACTTTGTAGTATCATCCTAGGAGGCTGCGGCAGGGGCTGATCAGTGTCAGATATTTGTGAGCACAACCAAAAACTGCACTCTGGCTGGGCTGAGATGATGTCATCAATCTGATGCAGCCAGGAGAAAGCTTTTTTTAGTTATTCCTTCTTTAGTGATCAGACTATACATTGTAACTTTGTAGTCACATCCTAGGAGGCTGCAGCAGGGGCTGATTGGTGTCAGACATTTGTGAGCACAACCAAAAACTGCACTTTGCCTAGGCTAAGATGATTTCATCAGTCTGCTGCAGCCAGGAAAAATAATTTTTTTACTTGAATCCCTCCAGGTGATCAGACTATACATTGTGACTTTGCAGTCATATTATAAAAGGCTGCAGCAAGGGCTAATCTGTGTCCGACATTTGTGAGCACAATCAAGAACTGTACTTTGCCTAGGCTAGGATGATGCTATCAGTCTGCTGCAGCCACGAGAAAGCTTTCTTTTTTAGTTGTCCCCCCTCCAGTGATCAGACTATACATTGTAACATTGTAGTGATATCGTAAGAGGCTGCAAAAGGGGCTGATCTGTGTCAGACATTTGTTAACACAGCCAAGAACTGAACAGTCACCAGGATTTACATGATTGTGTGATCTCTGAGCAGGCATCTCAGTCCAGAAAGTAGAGGGTGATCCCGGATGATGCCTGAACAGAGATGGTGCCGTTCTTCAGGAGAGAAAAGCAAATGAAGGCATTGTCAGGGGGAGTGCTGTGACCTCTTCGAGAGATAAGTACCTGGAAGTGTAACGCTCACACATTACTGAGCTTTAAAGTGATTTTAAATTCTCCCCCCTACGAGTGCCCACCATATCAAGCAGCTTGCTACGGGGGCACTTGTGTGGGCTCAATCCTGAGAGGGCTCTGTGTGTCCATAGACACACAGGGCGTA